AATTGCTATTTAAAATGTCATCAAAATATAACACTCTGATTTAGGATTGAAACAAATAGTTGTCATGTATGCAGAATGGGATGGGAACAAATAAGCAGGGTACAAATTTTATATTTGTTAAGCAAATATTTGTCACTGGTTGGATGATCCTAAATTTCATATTTTCTTGAAAAGCAACAATAAAGTGCTTTACCGGATGTAAGAAAGGAAGACACCCACAAGAAGATAAAGTCATATTTTATTACTGAAATGCATGCAAAGTAGATTGCCTATCATACACAAAACAACAGTGGCAAGAAAAGTTGCCAAATCTCTCATAATAGATTAGAGAAATCTTAGTATAGTAAGAGCCTGGAGTAAATGAATCATGCATTGCACAGTATTGTCATTAAGATGTACAACATCAGTTTTTCAGAAACATCCTGCTGATTGAACAAAAAATACTTCCAGCATGCCATCAAGGAAAAATGAAAATATTAATATGTGCTTAATCAAAGAAGTAATGCAAGAGGGTGGGGGATTAGTTTTCCTTGGCAAGACTTAAAATTACACTGTCAATGCAAAGGGATCTTTAAGGAGATCAGGATTATGAATGCAGGTTATACAAAGCAGCATATCACTGTGATCTTATGTCAAGCTGCTGATTGCTGAAGTTGCCACCATATTTAATTTTAAACTGTAAAACAGTGTCTCAGCATAAGAATTTCTTCAAAGGTACTGTTAGGAGTGAACCACAAGGGTAGATGGATGGTGGCTGAGCTGATGCAAAACTGATTAGAAGTCTTCTGGAATAGACATTGGGGGAATCCACCATACATTCTTATTCTGGAAGATTACGTGGGCATCTATCTAAAGAGTTAAATAATAATCTCACCTATAAGTAGAGTGATGTGGTTGTTAATCATGTGGTTGTTAATCACGTGGTTGATGTGGTTGTTAATCATGACAATATAACCAGACCATTACAGTCTCTTAATGTTTCTGTCAACAAACCATTTAAGGACCATTTGCAAAAGAAATGTTCTGGTTCTTGTCTCAAAATCATGTACTGAGAAATTCTGGTAAGATCAGGAAAGTGGCAGCATCAGAACTTACAGAATGAAGATAATAGTTGAGGGACTATTAACTATTAATAATGAGGTACTACTAACATTCTTGATGGCCCAAAGGACATTATTTTATGGAAAAATATGTATGTCAATGAATCTGAGCTTAAAAGAGATTCAGAAAAGTTTAAGTCAAATAAATACAAAATTTTAGGAAGACATTAGCCAATTTATTTTATGTACATTTTATGTACATTTATGTACATTTATATATGCACGATACTGATATGATTAAATATCTATATTTATGTTGAAATAAATCAAGAGTTCTTTCAATAAGAATCTAAGTGATGAAAAGCATTATTAGTATAGTTTATATTTTTATTTAAAGGCAAAAAGCGTTACCAGAGATAAAAGCCAGCTTATAGTAATGAAAGATTTTGCTCACCAGTAAATATAAAAAGTCTAAATGTGTATGACAGAACCACAAGGAGAAAAATTCACGCAGTAGATTTTAACATACCTCTTTCAATAACTGATAACATGGGTCAGGCAAAAAAAAATCAGCAAGGATACAGAAATTTGAACAAAACAATTATAAACTATGGTATAATGAACCTGTATAAAACATCTACAGCCAACAACCTCAGAATATACATTCTTTACAAGCACACATGAAACATTTACAAAATATTCATATGCTAGACCACAGACTAAGTCTCAACAATTTAAAGAGATCACTAAATTATCCTAGAAATGAGTAAAAAAAAAAAAAGAGAGAGAGAGATAAATAGAAAATTCCTATATTTGAGAATTAACAGATACATTCCTAAATTCTAAAGTCCTAGGACAAAAGCAAAATCCTGATAGAAATTAAATAGCCAAAAAGGAGAAAAATTCTATTAATGTTTGTGCAAGATGTGATTTGTGTGTGCAAAAAATCCGAATGAATCTAAAGATAAAATTTTAGACTTGATAAGAGATGTTATAGATACACTATTAGGATCAATAAGGGTTTAACAAGGTTGCTGGATTCAAAATCAGTATACAAATATCAATTATATTTCTATATATTAGCAAAAAACAATTAGGAAAGAAAGATATTTGTTCTAGTATTAAAAAATACAAACTACATAGAAATAAGCCTAACCAAAGATATATAAGATCCCTATGTGGAATATTATAATTTAAATAGACATTAAAGAAGACCTAAATAAATGGATTAGAGCACAATTATAAAGATGCAAAATTTCCCTAAATTTATCTATCTAAAGATTTAGTGCCATTCAAATTCTCAACCAAAATGTGTATGTGTGTGTGTGTGTGTCTGTGTGCGTGTGTGTGTGACTTGACAAGCTGATTCTAAAATTTATATGGAAATGCAAAGGAAACCTATTCTACTTGACTTCAAGACTTATTACAAAGCTCTAGTAATAAAAATAATCTGTTGATGAAGCAGAGATAGACTCATAAAATGAAATGAAGTCTAGAAACAAGACCACTTACATATGGACACTTGATTTGTGACACATTGGCCCAGCAGAGTGGTGGTGAAAGAACGGAATATTCAGTAGCTGCTGTCGGAACTGGGTATCCATATGTAAAAAAGTGAAAGGAACCTCTTATTAGTAAAAAGCTCCAAGTAAATTATAATTAATGGCAAAAACACCCAGACTAAAAAGATAATATAGGGAAAAAAAATCTCTATGCAGCTTAAGGAAGGATTTCTTGATCAAGTCATAAAAAGAACAACCATAAAGGAAAAGATTATTAAAGGACTTTATTAAAATTAATAACTTCTGCTCATTGACACTAGAAGATAGGGGAAAAGAACAAGCCAGAGGAAAAAAAGTATTTGCAGTAAATGTGCATGAGAGAGACTGACACACAATAGAAAATGGGCAGCTTCTCTTTCTCTGGCATTGTCTTCCTTCATACTTCCACCAACACACACTCAGGGGTTTGTTTTGTTGCTCTTGTTTTAAAGTCCATATACTTGGAAACTACTGGAAGTCGAACATGAGTACATCTTTGATACTTAGGAAAATAAAAGTACTATTTGGTATTGAAACTATAGTGATAAATTTTCCATAATATGTTTTTGTCTCATATGTTTAAGTGAGCAACTAAGTTAGGAAAAATGCAAAAGAAAAGTGAAAAGATATCCTAGGTGAAAACAGTGGTGATTCCTGGCTCTTAACAAAGGAGAAAAAATGAGTAATTTAACCTTACAAGGGGAAACTGAATCTGAAAAGGAAGGTAAAAGAAAGTACAGGTAAAAAGGAAAATGAAAAAGTGTACAACAGAACTGAGAAATGTTGCAAGGTAGTATCTGAATGATCAACATGGAAATACTCTGGTAACTGAGAGAAACAAAGACAAATAATGATAATTCTTGGGTTCTTAGAAGAACTCTTGATCTTGGATGGGAAAAGTTTTCAAGTTTACATTAATAATAGAGCTTCCAAATTATTCATAGAAGGAGCCCTTTATTTTTAACAATGGAACAATTTTTAAATAGATTGAATGCAAAATGAGAAAATAAAACTTTTCCTTGGGAGTGAAATGCAAGTTATAAAAAAAATCAATAAATGGGAAAATTAACAGCAGGAGAAAGTTCTAACTTGAGAGACTTTGAAATTGTTAGCATGCAGAAATCAGAAATTTGATATCCCTGCTTAATAGTAGGATAATTTTCATTTTTTTTACCTTTTAAGTTTCAGTTAATTCAATTTTGTTTTTTCTTTTGGAGATTTCTGATTTAAAGGGGAAAAAATTTTTGAAGACTGTAGAATATGTAAGAGCAAGAATATCTGGAGCAATCCAGATAGTTGGTGTCTACCCTGGTTTTACAAATAGAAGTGTTTTAATTAAGATGCATCATCTAATAAAATTTTGGCAGCAGTCAAAGCCATAAAAATGGAACCAATTGGTTATTGGTTACAACCAATAACTTCGTTTTTCCCCTGGAAAGATCTGTTGGCTTACCACTCATTTCTACTTTTGATTAGTAGTTAATTTTTCATTTTGTGGATTATTATTTCATTTTTAATGCTCTTGACCTTTTGTCCATTTCATGGTTATTAGCACCACCTTAAGAGAGGAGGGCAGAAGGAAACTGAATAAGTGCATTTGTCTACTGTGCTTCCTATTAATCCTGCCTTAGGAAAAAATCCAGTAACAAAGAAATTTACCACTATTAACTAAAATGATGGTGGTGTTCAAATTACTCCTGCAAATCAAGGTTAGAAAACTGAGATACCCACAGAGGCCTTGCAGGTAAGGTAAATGAGTGCTTGGGATACTCACTGGTGTGCACTGTGGCAACCCTGGGGATTCCAGGATTTAATATACACAGCGGTGCCTGGTGGCTGAATTAGGCTCATGGGCTGCCAGTGTTCAATATCTGTACCAGTCACCATGGTTAAAAAAGATGTTTATGCTTAGACATCATAAAAATATTATTGATGAAATGTGTGGTGTTGTTGCACTCTAATATATTAATACAGTTATGAGCTAGTTGACATGAGCAGCACCAAATAGGGACCAAAACAAAGCATACCATGATGCAGAGCTAACAAATGAACAGCTGGGACCACCTGCTTCCTGACAATTTATAGGCAAGTTACTCTTATGTTTAATACCTGCCCTAAGCCTAAAGCAAACTGACCCTCCTGAGTATGTGTTCAGGGTCTTTCCTAAAGAGGTGCTCAAGAATGATTTTTAATTGTTAAAGTGATTCTTGAGGACAAAGAGAGAAATATGCTCTCTTTAGGCATCTATGTTCACAGTCTGAGTTTCTGTAGCTTTATAATAGAACAGATTCTTGGAACAAATCCCAAATAATTTCACATATTTTGGGGGTAGATAATTATTGATATTTAAGCAGTGATTTTTTTTTTATGATGCATGTATGTAATGTTTATGTTACTTATTTTTGCTCATTTTTTTCAGGGAAAATTTCATGGAAATCCAATGCATGTAGCTGTGGTTATTTCAAATTGTTTAAGGGAGGAGAGGAGAATACTGGCTGCAGCCAACATGCCTGTCCAGGTAATATTTTCTAAACTTGTGATCTTGTTATCACCTTGAACTCAATTTTTCTGAAACAGAAATTTTTATCTTTTTCCAGCTTCTTCTACCTATGTCAGTGGTGCCGCTATCCTTCCAGGCACTGGCAATCAAGGTCCTGGGATTATCTTTGAGTACTTCTTTTTGTCTGCCTCCACACTGAGATAACCACCAGTCTGTTTATCTCACAGGCTGAGCTTGTTCTAAACCTTTCCATAGCTTCCTATTTCCTACCTCTCAAGTCTAAACCAATCCACAAGCAGGATTTTGTCTTACAGAAACTCCACAAGTACTTGCTTGTTGATTGTTTAAATGTACTTTGCCCTGATGTATTTTAAGTTATATTTTCATCCCACTGTGCTGAGTGAATTCAGAGCCCCCCTAAAGACCAGTAGAGGAATAATCAACGAAGTCCTTAAGGAATACTTTTTCAGTTGATTCTTACAAAAAGGAAAGAGTGTATAAACAATCAACTTTCCAAATGATGTCCTCCATAATTTAGTAAATCATACCATGATATTTATTTTTGAAGGTTTAACAAAAGTATCTTCTTTCAACTATTAAAAATTTTCAGGTTTAGTTATTGTCAGGTTTTAAAATTTTAACAACTTTATTTTTTCGATAAAGAAGTGAAATTTCAAGACATTCTTTTTCCAGGGACCTCTGGAGAAATCCTTACAAAGTTCTTCAGTTTCAGAAAGACAGAGGAATGTAGAGCACAAAGTGGCTGCCATTAAAAACAGTGTGCAGGTGAGTGACCATAGGTAGGTACCTAGAAAGGCTAGCTTCTGTCCCCCACAACTGACTATCACCATTTCTCATGGGCCCAAAGTTAGTGTGTACAGAAATCATAGGAAATTTTGTGAATAAGATAAATCTCTCACACACTATATTTATGTAAGAGAATATTTCTCTGTGGGAAGCTTTTTAACTCCAATTTAAACTTTTTGATACAGGGCTATTCAGTTTATTTCTTCTTGAATGAGCTTTAGTAATTTGTGTTTTTCAAGAAATGTATTCATTTCATCTAAGTTGTCTTTATTTAGCATAAACTTGTTCATAATTTTCCATTATTATCCTTTGCATATCTATAGAACTTGTAGTGATATCACATCTGTCATTTAATATTAGTAAATTTTGTTTTTTCTTTTTTCCTTTTTACTTAAACAGTCTGGCTAGAGGTTTATGAATTTTATTGATCTAGAGAAGATGTCTTAAATGTTAATTTCCTTTCCAAAACTTACATAGCATTCATTTCCTTATTCTTTACGAAAATAATAACACTTCCATAAAATTAAATAAACTAATAGATACTTAAAGGTAAACTTCCCCATAGATTGTCTGAATAGTAGGAAGAGAGCTTAAATAACTATTTCAGAGCATTTGTTTTCAGACTTCTGATTTCATGATCCACCATAACAAGTAAAACGTGCATGCAAAAGTCTCTGCTTACACTGTTGCAAGAAAGAATAGGTTCTCAGATGTACCAAAGACAAAAATGCCTTGGCACATTGTAACGTTAAACCCAAGGGCTCTATCAACTCTGCAAGTGTGTAAAGCAGGAGATGGTTATTTTATTATAGTAAAAATACTTAAGCACATTAACCAAGTGCACAGATGAGTTTTGCATCCAGCACCAATTCCTTTTAAATTCCTAAGAAGTATGATGGAGCCAGGAGCAGATCTTCACCACGCCTGCACACTGGTCCCCAGCAGCTATGAGTGTTGGCTGCTAATGGCTTCTCTGGAGAATTGTCTCTACAGGGAGCCCTCGGCTGCCTTCAGACAATCACTAAGTGACACAGTGACACAGAGGGGCTGGCGAGGAAAAGACCAGACCCATTGCCTTACATTGGGTTAACTCTGTGGTGCAGGTCATGTTCCTGGGTTCCTTATGGGATCAAACTTAAGTGGACCCCAGCAAAAATCGAATGCTTGCTTAGCTCCGTCCCCTTCCCTATCCCTCTCTTGTATGTCCTTTCTCCTGAGAATAGTCCCTCAATAAATCCCATGGACCTGATTCCTATCCCAGCCTCTGATTCCAGGAGGCCTGGCCTGACTTGCAGGCAAAGCAGCACTTTTCAATCAGTGCACTTCCCCCACTCATGCCATAGCCTCAGCTTCTCTGTGGAATGTTCTGGCATGTGCCATGGCTGTAAAGGATTCTCAGACTATCGAGAGAGCTGTTGAAGGTTAAGGCGGGGTGTTTTCGCATTTTACAATTACAAATGACAGTGCAGTCTGAAAGCCTCTTAATTATCCTAGCTTAGACTTTTTAGAGTTATGGCATTGGTTTAATATGCTTTTCATTAGAAGGAATATGCAAGATACTGCCTTCTTTTAGCTTTTATTAATTTTGAGATCAAAAGATGGAACCCCAGTATATCTCTGCCTTAAAATTATCTTATTTTGTTACATTTTTTCATGCATGTGGGTTCCCTGACTTTTAATTAATAGCCCAAACCCTTCCACAAATCTTTGTTCTGCAGAAGCTTAATGTAAAATTGAAATGCTACAAGTGGTATCGGGGTGTAGTGAACAGAAAGAATAAAGACTTTGAAGCTAGACTAGACTGAAGTTGAATTCTAGCTTAAGTATTTATTACTGTATGACTTTGAGCTTCAGTTTCCTCACATGAAAAATGGAAATAATTTACTTTGTAGGTTGCTGAAAGGATAATGTATGTAAGGTTTAGGCACAGCACAGGTTGCTAAAAAATTGGTAGCTGTTATTACTATGGGTGGGGAGACAATATACCATGTAGTCAATACTATTTATTACTTTCCTGAGGTTTATAAATATAGAGAAGTCATTTTAGAGAACAAGATAACAAACCAGGATGAGAAGAGTGATCATAGCTAATGCTTAGGAAGCATGCATTTGATACCAGGCACTGTTTTAAGCAGTTTGTCTCATGTATCACTTATAACAACTCCATGAGGTAGATACTGTCATCCTCTTTTCCCACCCCTCCTCATTTTACAGATGAAGAAACTGAAATGCTAAGACATTTGCCCAAGATCACACAGCTAATAAGCCACAGAGTTGAGAGACAATTTCAGACTCTCATACTCCAAACTGGATACTTTTCTTAGTATAATTTAGGTGACTAAAATTCGGAATTTCTGGAAGAAAATTTGTCAGGGAAGATGTATGTTTTGTTAGGGAAGACTTCTTGGAATAAGTAGGCCATAGAAAGTTAAATTTTCTGAGACGAAAGGGAAGTGCAGTATCTGAAATCTAGGAAGCAGTGGTTCTGGCTAGGGTCGGGGTCATGGTCAGACTGCCGGACTTCCCACCAAACTCCCCACTAAGCAGTTGTATGACCTTGAACAAGTAAGTTGCTTCACATCTGTAAGCCTCTGCTTTTTCCTCTGCAAAGGTGAGGGTAACCCACTTCATGGTTATTGTGACGACTAAATTAGATACTATATAAAAAGCCGTTAGCCCAGATCTTGACATTTAACAGCTGTTATGTCTGAGCAGCAAAATGTTACCAGGTTTGGAGAAAAGTAAAGTAAAAATCTCAAAGACAGAAACAAGAGATATAAATAAAATATAGATGTATTTTAAGTAGTAGAAAGAAAAAATATTTAAGCTGAATTGTCATAAACTACAGCATATTTGAATGGAGATTTAAGCAAAAAGTGATCACTGATGTAGTAATACAGAGTTATGCAATACTACTCAACAATTATAAAAGGACAAAAATATCCACATTCTCCAATAAAAAAAAAAGATTATATGAAAAGCATCAGTTGGTGCTAATTGAGAAATAAGAGCTAAGATGCTGAAAGATTTCCAAACAAGCAGAAAGAGAGAATAGTTGGAAGAGTAAGAACGACCTGGTTCTTCCAGCACTGTTCAACTTTCATGTGCATTAGCCCTTCAGATAGGTAGGCTCATGATAGTCTTCAGAAGTTGGGTGCTATTCGAGACTGGAAACACCAAACAGTGTATTTGAAAATACTTATAATGTTGTTTCATTGACATACTTAATTGTAACAGCTGAGTAAGTATGTTTTCTTTTGTGAAAAGATGACAGAACAAGACACCAAATACTTAGAAGACCTGCAAGATGAATTTGACTACAGGTATAAAACTATTCAGACAATGGGTAAGTTTTTGTTTTATATATAATTCTTCCTAGGGACATAAAGGCAGCATGACTAGGGCTTCTTTACTGACAGAGTTGAAAAATAAATTTGATCTACTTTCCTAGGTGAGTCGAGGGAAATACAAGGAGTATTTCTTTATTTTGCCTCTTCTTTCCCTCTCCATATAAATAAATATATGTGTTTTTTAACAACCAGGCCAAAGTAAATTACAAACTGCATGAGAAATCACCTCTACTTTAAGCATCTCCAAAAAAGAAAACCAAACTAAAAAAACCTACAGAATCAAAATACCATTATCACAAAAACAAAAGTAATAATAATTACCTAACATCATCAGAAAATTACTAATATTATCCCTAGGTAGTTTTTTTAAAATATAATTTTCTGAAATATAAGGTAGAAATGTGCTTCATAGAGGAAAATTTAGAAAATAGGCAAAAGCATTGAAAAAATTAAAATCACATGAAATCTATCTATAGCTAAGTATCGTCAAAATGTATTTCCTTACAGCCTTTTTCTTTATATGTTCACATACATATTTATCTATTTACTTATTTTCAAAAAAATGAGATCATCTTTTGTATATAGTGTTGTACCCTGCATTTTAAATTTTTATTTTTAAGTATTTCCTCACATCAAAAAATCTCCAAAGGGGGAGAGTTTTTAAAAAGAAGTCTCCAAAAACACAACTCAATAATCGTATAAATGTCAAAATGTAAGGACATTGCAACTTATTTGACTATTTTTCTGTGGTTAAATGTTGATGTTTACAACTGTTTTTGAAGAAATGCAAGGAAAGAATGAGAATAGCTACAAGGCCTTAGATGTACAAGTAAAAACAGATTCATAGTTTAAACTGTGTTGCTATTATTAATAGGGACAATTAGTAAGATTCTAATTAGGTCTAGATTAGTTGATAGGATTGTGCTGATACTAGTTTACTGGTTTTGATCATTGTACTATGCTTATGTAAAAGAATAGAGGAAGCTGGAGGAAAGATATACAGGAAATCTGCACTAATTTTACAACATTTTCGTAATTCTAAAACTATTTCAAATAATTTAAAAAATAAATTAGAAATAAACCTTTCATTTACACAATCATCTTCATTATTATATAATGTTAGCATCAAACGTATCTTGAACGAACTATGAATGATTGTGATCACATGTTTAATAAGTGAAAAGTGAGGTGTTTTGTGTTCTTCTGTCATGATTAGAATATCCTGACCTCCAGGAAACATTATTCAAAATGTTCACAATTATGTGTATGTAAAATTTTTGCCTTTGGAAGAAATGGCATAAACATGGTTTCATCAGATTCTCAAAGGGGTCCTTGATCTTAATTTAGGGTGGGGAATCTGTGGCCCTGGGGCCACATGTAGCTTTCTGAATTCTTGAGTGTGGCCTTGTTCTGTGAAGTTTGGATGCAGTCCAGGTGCCACACTTTGGGATCTGGAGGCCACAGGTGGTTGTGAGGCTGCAGGTTCCCCACCCCTGTCGGCCTCCTCCTAAATTTCATACCTGAACTACCAATTTGAAGAATTAGAAAACAACAAAATACACTAAACAATAAAATTATTTTGAACTCACTATATTATGATTTGAGTCACTTTAATATTTTTCACTTTATGCTCATTATGAAGAATAAAAAGGATCAATTTTATCACTTAAACCAACAAGTATTTATTTTATTTGTTCACCCTTATAAGTTATAAGTGAAATGAAAGATATGAGGGAAATAAGTTACAATATCCTTGCTGGTGAAGATCAGAAAGTATTAGCTAAGTAAGTTTTCAGTTGATAAAATGCTACATAAGCAAGATTTTGCTATGTATGGGATCTAGAAGGTAGTGAATTAATGAGCAACTACAACCAGGAATGAGTTCCTGGAGATTAGCACCATTATTTTGGGGTATCATTTTCTGAACCCCAACACTTACATATATCAATAAAGTTCAATGTTCAAATTAATATAATGTTTGTTTATGGCATGTCTTCCCATTTAAGAGGATAAATCTTTTTGTTGTTGTTTCAGTTAGATGTTTTTCTTAATTTGCAACTCTTTCCCACTTCTAGCCCATTTTGAGGCTAGCCCATTTTGCAAAGAAAAGGGGAAAGCATTTAGTCTTTACTAGTTCATGAGACCAAGCAGATAAAACTATAACTCTAGTAGGCAGCTTCTCCTAACTCCTGAGTATAAAGTAGAGCAGGGAGGGGTGGGGAAAGGCAGCAGAAAGAGTCAAATATGTTTTAATCACGGGCACAAAGGGAGGCCCCCTCCCTTTCTTATTTATGCCAAAAAACCCGGGTCATCATTAATGTAGAGCTATCCAGTAAGGAATCTATTACGATAACTCTATTTCTTCTCTCCACCTCCAATAAAAGAACAGTGAGCGAAGAATTGTCTTCCATGAAGGTCTGTCTGTAAGATAAAGAGGTCTTTTTTGGGATGTTTGGACGTAATTCTTCCCGGCAAAATGAGCAGGCAGGGACTTTACTTCCAAGCTCAACTCTAGTGGCCCCATTAAGTCTCCTACCACACAGGCCCCTCCTTCTGGCCAGGGCTGGTTGAGGATGGCAGATTGAGGCTGACTTGACTTTCAAGAACAGACAGGTTTAACTTGGAAAAGACTCTAAATCTGATCCCTTGTCCTTTGCAGATCAGAGTGACAAGAATAGTGTAATGATGAATCAGGAAGTTTTGACACTGCAAGAAATGCTTAACAGCCTCGACTTCAAGAGAAAGGTTAGTGAAGAATTTTCATTTGGACTTTTGCTCATTTTTCTCCTTTTCCTAAACCCAGTCCTACTGAAAGGTATCAAGCTCTTAGATTTTATCAGTTCCATTTACACTGTGTGAATAAATGGCCGTGTTTTAGGAACAGTCCCACACTTTTTGCCATGCTTCCCTTCATGAGTTTACAAAGCTGGACCTATCTAAAGCCTATTTATCTTGCTTATGTGACACATTTGCTGTAGCTAACATTAATTTTAAGATGGATGTTTTACCCAATTTTTATTTGTCACTATTTCAGACATGGCTATTTTAGTTGCTGTACTTAATATGCTGAGACAAATATGTATATAACTAAAGTATTACTTGACTACTAAAATTTTATTGGAAAAACAAGTTTTTCAAATAAGTTTTTACTTAGAAATGACATTATGTTAAGCAATTTCCTGGATTTCAGAATAGCCCATTGGCAATTGAACATAATCTAATCTCCTCCCAAAAAGAAAAATGTTTTTCTGGCTCAATGAAATATTTTTAAAGAGGGAAGCATCTCTATTTCAATTCTCTACCTCTCTTTGAAAATAAATGCAATCAAAATTTAGCCAGTCACTGGTAAATCAATAGTTTAGAAACCAATAATTTCTAAAAGTGTAGCTCTATTTTGTGTGCAGGAATTGGTGTGAGCACAAACAAATGTAAAATTTATTTTCACCCTAAATTAGTTATAAACTTAGTTATATAACAGATTTTAAGCATGGAAGTAATTTAATCCAAGATAAAACAATGTTTTTATGCACAATAAATCTATGCTACACATTTTTTGCATGATATCTTATTCTACTTTAAAAATAAAGTAGAATAATTTTAAGAAGAAAAAGAACTTCAAAAATAATTCAGTCTATTTACCTGATGGTATATATGAGAAGACCAAGTTTCAGCAAGACTAAATGTTTTGTCCTAATTCATACAGCTTGTAACAAAGGCAGGACAGAAATTCCTATCTTCTAACCCCTAGCCCATCGAAAGTTACACTTCTCCACGATGCCTCCCAGAGCCCAGATAAAGTCCTAATAAAAATTAACAGAGAAAGGCTCAAATTTTAGTCCGTTCATTTTCAAATAAACATTTGACCATATTTATTTTTAAAAATCAAATTTATAAACATCCTTCTAAAGAGCAAATATACAGTTTTATGACTATAAGATTCAATATTGCTGCCACAAGATTTACAAATTCAGCATTTTTTATCCCAAAACACATTTATGAGAATGTTAAACTGTGGTCATTCTTTATATTTGGTCACAATTTTAACCAAGCCTTCATCTCCCAGGTCAAATTGTTTTATAAGTTGGAATCTGAGTGATTCTGGCTGTTGCTTATGGAAATCTCTTCAGTAGTCACCTTTGTTTTTAGGAAGCACTCAGTAAGATGACACAAATAGTTAACGAGACAGACCTGTTAATGAACAGCATGCTCATAGAAGAGCTACAAGACTGGAAGCGGAGGCAGCAAATCGCCTGCATCGGAGGTCCACTCCACAATGGGCTCGACCAGCTTCAAAACTGGTAAAATGAATTCACTTCCATTTCTAGTGAAAACCACAGGAAGTACAAAACTTCAGTGTCACTCAGCCAGAGAATGCAGGTTGAGACCAGAATGTCCTTTCATTCAGCCTACTGATGGCTTATTAGCAGCTGGGAACTCTGCAGTTGAAAACAATTGATCGAATAGTATAAATGTTCTTAATTTTCATTCCTTTGTGTGTGTGGGGGGGGAATAAAAGGAAGCTTCTGTAGAATGCGTAAGAATTGCTTAATTTTTCACATACAAGAGATCAATCTTAAAAGATGCAAATAAATGTTTGAAACTAGCAATACACTCTCTTTAAGGACATAATAAGGAAGCACTGGCTTCAAAATCATGAAAATAGATACTGACTTTTTAAATGTGTGTCTTAGGACACACTTAAAGTTAAACATTAGTTTTGTACTTTCAGCTTAGTGATTTATTGTGTTAAGTATGTTGATAAAGGCTACAAAATTTCAGTTATGAGGAATAAGTTTAAGAGAGCTATTGTATACATCATGGTGATTATGGTTAACAACACATGGTATACTTGAAAATTACTAAGAAAGTAGATTTTAAGTGTTCTTACCACAAAAAAGTATTTGAGGTAATAATGCACAATATTTGGCTTGATTTAACCATTCTACAATGTATGCAAATATTAAAACATCCTGTCATGTACCATAAATATAGCTTGTCTATGTATGCATATACACAATTAAATATAAATACATCCTATATGCACTGAAAGATAAAAATATTGGTAGGATTTTCTAGCTCATTAATGCAAAATATAATAAAATATCTGATTGAAAGAACAATTGGAAAATATAATGAAAAAGAAGGAAAATGTTCAGTTAAAATCTAAAATTCCTTTCTGATCAGGTGCAGTGGCTCATGTCTATAATCCCAGCACTTTGGGAGGCCAAGGTGGGAGAATTGCTTGAGACCAGGAATTCAAGACCAACCTGGGCAACATAGCAAGACTCTGTCTCTACAAAATATATATTTTTTAAAAAATTAGCTGGGTGTGGTGACTCATACCTGGATTCCTAGCTACTTTGGATACTGAGCAGAAGGATTGCTTGAGCCTGGGAGTTGGAGTTGTAGTGACCCATGATTGCACCACTGTATTCCAGCCTAGGCAACAGAGCCAGACCCTGTCTCCAAAAAATAAATAAAATAAAATAGCTTTCTAAGAGTACAATTCAATACACTGGAAATATATAATAATGGGAGACCCTCTCATGAAAAGCTCTATCCTGCCAGGCTTACTTCCCAAGAAAAGTTAAGGAGTTGGGCTCATTTTAAAACATTGATTTTCCTTGGGGAGATACTTCAATTCTCTAACCTCACTGTACTCTGTTGTTGTAAAAACAAGACAAACAATAAAAGGGGCAATAAAGAATTTAACAGGTAATTGTGTCCATACTAAAAATCAACAGGGATTCAACCACTCTTCCCACAGTCTCATATGCAGAGTACTTTAACTAGAAAGAGTTTCTATAGGGCCAGATGGACTTCCCAAGTTTGATGAGACATTCTGCCTTCTCTGTTGTGTCCATTTCAATCTTACTCTTCTCTAGACTTCTGGCCCAAGTCCCCACCTCCATTTCTGAGGTAAGATTACCACACAGCAAGTAAAACTCCAAGCAGATATCAAGGGCATGCATTTCCAAATACACTTTTCTTCATAGAGAGTCATTGATCATTTTTGGAAGATTTAAGACTTATAAAAATATATATTGGAGGAGAAGGTCAGTTTCACATTTTTTCCTTCAATATTTTTACATATAACATCCTTCATATCATGTATTTTATAGTTTTAAATTTGTTCTTTCATTGCCTTTTAGTGAATGTCATATTCTTCACATACATAACTTAACAGGCTTAAAAAAGGATAATTAAAAGGGATTTGTTTCCAGATGTTGACAAAATTTCATAAGTGGTATCTTATCTATAATTGAAGGCACAAATTAGAAAACATTGAAAACATTTAACAAATATGATGCATATTTGAGCAAAATGGAAAATACAAATAAAGAACTGTCACTTTCAATAAAATTAAGTGATTCACTTAAATTAATGATTACTTAATAATTTAATATTTGTTAAATAAGATCAACTGTTAAAATGCTCATTTGTTAAGTGGAAAAACTATCTCTGATTTTTATTTGCTGTTGAATAGCTTTACACTATTGGCAGAAAGTCTTTTCCAACTCAGAAGGCAATTGGAGAAATTAGAGGAGCAATCTACCAAAATGACATATGAAGGTGATCCCATTCCAATGCAGAGAACTCACCTACTAGAAAGAGTCACCTTCTTGATCTACAATCTTTTCAAGAAGTAAGTGAAATCTTATCAACTAAATGCTTCATGGCATCCGCAGTTCTGTGAAGTTGTAAGAACATCCTGCCTGGGGTTTTGGTGTTTAGGTTAAAGAGTGACAGGGAACTATTAATCAATGAGCCTCAGGGACCCCAGAAAGTTTCAGAAACCATATTTCTATGTTTCACTATTTACTCATGAACACATCTCCCACTAACTGACTCAGTTTTCCACAAACTAAACCACATCACCCACCTACAGCTTAGTTTTCGCGTTTTAGAAAAGATTTTTTCAAAGGTTTATTCCTAAGTGCATATCCAAGAAATGAAAGATGGAGAACATTTTTGTGTTTATAAGCTAGTCTAAAGAAAAAACTACTGATATGTACCAGAAATTTTAATGTTTAGTCCAAAATAATGGCATAAAATTTACTCTCTATAAATATGATAAAAATGGACTGGGGATTTTATTTATGACTCATTTATAACAATTAAGGATTATTTACTATTATTACTTGGGGACAGTCTTTAGGCAATCTTTTCCTACCTCTTGGTAATTATTTATGAAAAGTCATTGGAAAGATTTGAGTTTAATGAGGGTTTGAATGTCTTCTAAGTGTAGAAAATTTGGACCTTTTGAGAGGATAGCATCCTGTTCCTCTGTGGTTTTCAGCCTGTCAATATTTTCAATGTTTTCAAATGACATGCTTTATTTCCTTTTCATCTAGCTCATTTGTGGTTGAGCGACAGCCCTGCATGCCAACCCACCCCCAGAGGCCGTTGGTACTTAAAACCCTCATTCAGTTCACTGTAAAACTAAGGTAGGCAGACGCCTTCTCTGCTTTCATGTGTGTGGAGCCACTGGGTAATCTAGGCTAGTTTCTCCCATTGCGCCTTACATTCGATTATTCTTTATTAAGCACCTGCTGTGTGCCCAGCATTAACCTTTGGTAAAATGTTAAGATGAGAGCCCTACTTGTCAGGAGTGTGCCCATGCAAATGAGGACATGCGGGATATTAGCATGAAAGTATGGAATCATAATATCGGGGACAATGTAATTAATTGCTGAAAAGGTTGACTTGAGAAGACGACCAGAGAAATTGAAAGAGGGGAGGAGGATTGTAGGAGAGCAAGACTACAGAAATAATGGCTTCCTGGGCCTGTTTTGTGATCGTGTGGAGCAGGAAGAGATAGACCTGAAAAGATAGATTGAGGACAGATTATGGAAATGTGATTACCCAGTAACCAGTTTAATGGATTTTCTACAAAAACTCTCAACACCACAATTTCAGCACATCCTTACTATGCACCTGATTTAAAGCTACATGGCTTTTGTGTTATTATTGCTTTGTTTTATCTCCATGTTTGATCCTTTTCATTAGCCTGAAAAATCAAAACTTATAGTTTTTCTCTAATGATGCTTGAAACAATGAGTTTGAGTTCTTATTTTCAACCATTTTCATCATGCCTCAAACTCCAAAGTCTGAAGTGTTAAATTCCTAATTATTAGGTCACGTCTGGAAAGCTGAAGCTACAGATTAATGCATCAACAGGTAGTGATGCCATGGTAGAGAGCATTTTAGGGTCCTATGATAGGGTCCCTGATCACATATCAGTATTGGAACTCCATTTTTAAAGGGAAGGCATTTGTCTTCAGTTTGCATTTCACCAGCTCCTACTAAAATTCTTAATCAGTTTCTTTGTGTGCATGTTGCACCAAGATTTAAGAACTAAAAACAAAAAGCAGAGGCCAGGTTCTTTTTTGAAATTTTGTTCTTCTCAAAAGTTGCTAATTTCTTATTCCTACATCTCTATGCAACTCAGAGGACTGCAGCAATAAAGGGAAATAGGATGGAGAGGGCGTGGACATTCTGCATCTGGTTGAGACATAAAGTAGGTCTAAGGTGCTCTCTGGGACAAAAGGGGAAATGAGTAGGGATTGCTCAGCAAAACATTCTGAGTAGAAGAGATCCCTGAATCAGTGCCACCTTGCATGTTATTTGAACTGATTGGCAGCGACGTGGACTGTTAGTCCCTGGTTGGCAGGTTCCGTCCTCCTTTTCCATCTAACTGCTGGATCCTCACCCTCCTTCTCTGAACCCTGTTCCCCACTGTCTTGATAGATGATCCTTTATTCAAGGTAAAATTCCTCGCTACCATTTGCTTTCTCCTATTCAAAAGGAGTGGTGACCTGGAACTCTAGTGTTAGTCGTCAGCATCTTAGGATGAGTCAGATACCTCCTGAATAGGATAGAAAGGGAAACATCTGACCTTATTTCACCTGACCGTACCTACCCCTCACCACCCACTACCAAAGACTACCAGCTTAACATACTCCAAACCCTGAACCAATCTTACGCCTTGGACAGGACATTTAAAGATCCTCTGCTACACATTCTACCCACTGTCTTGTTTGGGCTATGATCTGTGATTTTGTTTCTCTAATGCTGATGAGGTGCTTATCACCATACTTTCTATATTCCATCTGTTTGGCTGGTCTCCTCCCTTTTATGTATAGCCACGTCCACATTTCTCCCTTCTCCAGTCTTTGCTCTGCCAGTTCCCTGTATGTAAGGCTGCTCTGGGTAGATATGAGGAGCTTAGTACATGCTGAGCGAATAAGCAAAGGTTGGCATGAGTGCATGAGTAAATGAATGAGTGTGTGAGTGATTGAAGGATTATCTCCAAAACTGCACTGAACCCACAGATGGGGCACATCACAGGACAAAGCTCTGAGGAGTTGGAGAAAGCAAAAGAATAAAGGAGGGCTGACACCAGAAGGAAATAAAGGAATTGCTTATTCTGAGCTTTAATCGCTTGTTTGCTTGAAGTTGGGTCTTTTTTAGTGATGAACATTTTTTGCTGATACTTAATTATAGTGTGTTGAAAGAGTACAAATGTATTTGAATTGGGATTTTCCATGTTCTACCAGAGACCTAGTCTTTCTCAGTATTTTCACCATTAAATAGTTATTATCAAAAACGTTTAGTTTTACTAAGCTTACAAAATGGTGGGGGTTTTATTGGTAATATGAGAATAAAATAGGGCTAAATTAATAGACTTATAAAGGATTTTTCTTATATTTATACTTTAACCCAAATTTGGGCTTTTTCCAAAATAGAGATATTTTTCTTACCTGGCCAATATATTATCCAGCACACATTAACTGAAGCAATATTGAAATACTTTCCAAATGTTTGTTGGCATGATATTAAGTGGCTAATGTCAGCGTTAGTAATATGGCAAACTAAAGACAAATAATATATTTTTAAAACATATTAACATATAACTGGAGATAATGTAAGTTTTATTTATATATATATGCCATAAATATAAATATAAAGAAGGCTTTTAACACTTTTAATTTTTATTCTTGATTCTTTATTGATGTCCCTTTTCAGACTGCTAATAAAATTGCCAGAACTAAACTATCAGGTAAAGGTTAAAGCATCAATTGACAAGTAAGTTTTCTAATTTCATTTTGAAATTTGAAATGTGAGACCATTTTTATGAACTGCCCTTATTTTATAGAACAATTTTGAACTTTTAAATGTACTTCTTAAGTGTTACATATAAATGTACTTCAAATATTTGACTTTGAAGTTCATACATTTAACAGAACCCAATAAAGATTTAATTTAAAAGATTTTTCTATAAAGACCTGAAATGAAATTTTATATACTATCCCTTAAAATATCATAGAAAAATTTTACTAGACCTATTACATAACTCATTTTGAAGAATCTTCTTGATTTTTACAGGAATGTTTCAACTCTAAGGTAAGACATTTACTTTGTAGAATTTTTTTGCTATTCTTAAAAATGTATTTTACCTGAGACCATGTAAATAGCTAAGATTTCCTCTCTAGCAATCGAAGATTTGTACTTTGTGGAACTAATGTCAAAGCCATGTCTATTGAAGAATCTTCCAATGGGAGTCTCTCAGTAGAATTTCGACATTTGGTAAGTTTGGCAGTAAAATTACACAAACTTTTTTTTTCCAAATCAGATACATCTTTATAATAGGCTTTATAATTCAGTGTGTTTTTTTCTTAAGTGTTTCTTATGTGAGATTAAGGACCATTTTAAGAAATAAAACATGCCATCATTCAAGAATTAAAGTGGTAGAAAGAACCCTGAACCCTGACTCAAAAGGTCTGAGTTTTAAACAATGATGATGTAGTACCTAAGCAGACACACTAGTTGGTCAATATATTTTGATGATAATAACAGAGCTCATCTGTCTTATAATAGGTAGGCATTACACAATGGAATATTATTCATCCATAAAAAGAATGATGCTGGGTATGGTGGCTCACACCTGTAATCCTAGTACTTGAGAGGCCAAGGCAGGGGGATCTTGAGCCCAGGAGTTCAGGGTTGCAGTGAGCTATGATCTCACCACTGTATGCCAGCCTAGGCAATAGAGCAAGATCTTGTTTCAAAAAAAAAAAGGGAAAAAATAAAAATAGACATTTTGTTATTTACAGCAATGTAGGTAGAACCGAAGGTCATTATGTTAAATAAAATAAGGCAGGCACAGAAAGACAAATATTGCATGTTCTCACTCATGTGCAAGAGCTAAGAAAGTGGATCTCATGGAGGTAGAGAGTAGAATGGTGGTTACCAGAGACTGGGAAGGGAAGGCGGGGGTAGGAGGGATGAAGAAAAATGCAGTTAGGTAGAAGGAATAGTAATTCAATAGTACAGTAGGAAATTATAGTTAACAATAATATGTTATATATTTCAAATAGCTAGAAGAATTATAATGTTCCTAATGCAAAGAAAAGTTTGAAGTGATGGAATCATTATACATTTGTATTCTTGTATCAAAATATTATATGAACCCCCAAAATATGTACAACTATGATAGATCGATAAAAAAAATAAGTACACACAAACACAAAATAATGGATAGGCATTCCTAGTTTCATTTTTAAAATCTCCCCAAAAAGTGATATCCAATAACCACATGTCTAACTAAAAGCGTTTCCCTTTTAGGAGGATAGCTTGGGGAAATAGGATGTTCCGAGCATGGCAGTTGTACACAGTTCACCTTGGCATGTCTAGAAAGCTCTGACCCAGCCTCATCCTGTTGCTTCTGTTTTTACCACTTCCTCTTGACCTAGAGTTCTCTTCCTGCCTTCTTTCTAATTCTTTGTATAGTTCTTAGATTCCCCCAAACTCTACTGCTGTCCTTGCCAGAAATATATTACTCCTCTTGCTTATTAACATTTAGCAAGTACCTCATCAAATGCTGGAGCACCACTGAATAAGTCTCAAAAGGTCTACTTTCTAAAAGATAAAATTTAGATTAAAGATACCTGCATATGTAAATTTGTGCTGGTTTTGTTTTTGGTTTTGATTTTGTTTGGTTTTCAGTATTGAGGGGTATATTTCTTTCTAATTGAATCCCTCCTGTGTGAGACTGCCAAATAAATAAAATGTAATAAAGAGTCATATATTATAGACATCCTTGTACCTAACGCTCTTTTTGGTTGGGCTCAATTCCTGTCCTCAAGGAACTTTCAGTAGTGGGCCATGTTTAGTAATAAGTAAAGTCATAAGAGCCCTTAACTTAGAATTGTCTATCTCCCAAAAAAGTTACATAGTAAAGGAAGTATGAGTAATATACCAAAAAGTGCTTAGGTCTTTATTTCAGCTGGCACAATACATACAATAACAAAACCTTAGTTTTTACAGTGTTCTTCTAGTTGCAAAGCATTTTCACATTTATTATCTTATACATAATAACTTAATTGCTTTTTATTTATTTATTTATTTTTGAGACAGAATCTCACTCTGTTGCTGGAGCTAGAGTGCCATGGCATCAGCCTAGCTCACAGCAACCTCAAACTCCTAGGCTCAGGCGATCCTCCTACCTCAGCCTCCTAAGTAGCTGGGACTACAGGCATGCACCACCATGCCCGGCTAATTTTTTCTATATATATTTAGTTGGCCAATTAATTTCTTTCTATTTTTACTAGAGATGGAATCTTGCTCTTGCTCAGGCTGGTCTCAAGAGATCCTTGGGAGATCCACCCGCCTTGGCCTCCCAGAGTGCCAGGATTACAGGCGTGAGCCACCACGCCTGGCCCTTAATTGCTTTTTAATACAAAAATAAATATAGAAAATAAGAGAAGCAAAATTTTAAAAATTAAAAAACACTTATAATTGCACTACTTTGAGGCAATGTTATTAATATCTTCATTTTTATGTTTTTGTTCTTTTTTTCTAAAATAGACAAATACTTTTGTAAGAAGTGTTATCAAATCTACACACTGTATAATTTTTTCTGCCTCTTTTTGCCATTCAGTAATCTGTACCAATGCACAGTTTTTGCATAGGTCTTCTTCCACTCTAATGTCATTTAATAGCTTACCGTGGGGCCGCGTGACCACACCGCCCCACAGCTTACCACCCCACGCACGCCTCTGTGTGAGACTGGGTTTCACACGGACTGGGAATCATCTCCCACAGCTGAGCTAAAATGATGCTTTCCAGGCACAAAGGAATGCTGAACAGATTCTAAAGGATCCCAGCATGCTTTCCATTTTTGAAAATGTTGGCTGAAAAACACAGTCTTAGTGGTATTACCAACTTGGTCGCTAATCTCAATGGAAGTTTCTACAGTGGTATCCCGTGAGGTGAAACAGGAAGCTCCTCTCTGTTAAATCTGGGCACCTGTGTCAGTTTTCAATAAGGTTGAGACATCTAGGTTACTGTCCCAGAAATCAAAACCATGGCCAAGAAAATGACTACAGTAGTACAACCCACTTGACATGTAGCTGATAATGCTTCTCCACCTAAACATTCTTGTTTTCTTTTATAAAGCAACCAAAGGAAATGAAGTCCAGTGCTGGAAGTAAAGGAAATGAGGTAGGAAATATTTTTTCCTCAAGAATTTTTCCAGGAAATAATGCCATAATATATTGTTTTTACAAAGTTTTTAAACTGCTTGACTTTATGTAAAATTAAATCCATGTTTCTCTAATTACAAATAGAAACCTTGATAATTATAGATAATATAGGAAAATATTTTTAAAGGAGAAAATAAAAATAGCCTATAATAACACCATCCAAAGAAAATAACTATTAACATTTTGGTACACATTATTCCAGTTTTTTATTTATGTGCATGTTACTTTAAAAATATATGATACACATTGTTTCATAACCTGCTTTTTTCACAGAGCAATGTATGGTGAACAGCTTCCTATAACTTTACTCTTGAAGAACATGATTTAAATTTGTTGCATGATTTTGGATTTTATAGGTGTGCCATCATTTCTTTAGCCAGTCCTCCATTATTATAAAATATCTTTTCCATTCTCCATTTTTATTCACTCATTTTCCCACATCTATGAGGTAAGGCTCAAAAATCATGACTCGTTACGTGAAAAATCACAGGTGAAAAACAAATCCTTTGTGGCATCGGCTACCTTGCTCTCTAAGGGTTGTATTCCACCAGGTGAAGTGAATAAAGGAACAAACTGATGCAGTCCCAGTGCTCACATCACAGTCAACAGATGACAGAGTGGACAAATCCTGGATTGGGAATGACCTTGGAGATTATCTATTAAATTGACCTAGAAACTAAGGCATCAGTCTAGGAGCTATGTATTTGGAATTAGAAACCCTGAGTTTGAGTACATGCTCTGATAGTGACTGGCAGATGATCTGAAAACATACTGCATTTTTTTTTTCTTTAAGAGATGAGGATAGTAATGCCCAATGCTTACCTGCTCAGAGATGCTTCATACGTAAGACCACCTACATGATGCGGTTATAGAGCAGGGAGGCTTAATTCTGGTAGAGTTTATATGAATCCAGTCTCCTGGCTTTGTAGTTGCAGCTCCTACGAAAAAGATCTTTGAAACATTTGGAGGAAAAGCACTTTACAAGGCCAGCATCCAATGACATCCTATCTCTCACACCCCACAAAACCACAAAGATCCATCACAAAGCATTTAATACCCTACCATTTTCCCCTCCAAGAATTCCTTATTCCCTTAATTATGTCTTAAAGATCATTTGCCAAGTATTGAACCCACCAAGGATGAGCTAAATCTTCCTCCCAGGACAACATTGCTGCTCAGGGCTGAGCCCTCTACAACCAAAGATACCTTACGAGCAGAGCTTTTGAGTTGAAGAATATTCTAGTAAAATCAGTGGGAGATATTCTTCCCATCTTGCAGAAACCCAGAAAGGTCTCCTAAACTTCATGGTTAAACATTAGCACATTTTTTTAAGGGAGAAAGGAGGGGAGCAGCACATTTTAAATGAAAGCCCATGTCAGACATCTCACTGGAATTAGGGCCAGAGCTGCAACGTTTCATTCAGATTGACATCCTTTAATATTATTTTTGAGTCTGAACAGACTAAGCACAATTATTCTGAACTTTTATTAAGTAAAACAATAATAAATCTCAATAGCTCAACTCTTGCAGTGCGTTATCATCTTAATGAATGTAAAATCAAAATGTTTATTTGGATTTCCCTAGAGATGGAAATCTAAGTAAATCATCTTCTACTGTGGAAACACCAACCACTGTCTTATTAACGCTGCTTATATTTCTTTGAATTTGTTTCCCTCTCACTTTCCGATTAATAGCAAAATCCTACAGTCATAACAGAATGATTTTATGTCTTCCTTTTTCTCCAGGTTTGCTAAAGCAGGTTAATCTTATTTTAAACATTCTTTGAGCTCCACCTGCTGGTGGAATTTTAGTATGACTCCTAGGTACATTTAAAACAAGCCACAGGCTTGAACGTTGATGCGCTACAGGAACAGTTGCCAAGCCACAAAATCTGTGAAGGATGGGAGCTGGGAGCCAGGGCTGTGGCCGTCAGTAGGGATGACCAGAGGACAGTCAGTAAAGTGTAAGAAGAGCTAGCAATAAATGAAGCTCATAATGTCATCGAGTCAGAAACTGCGGCAAAAAATTTCAGGAATAAAGGAAGCTAGGATATAACTTTTTCAAGTTTCAAAAAGTTGCTGTCGTTTATCTCAAGCAGCTGTGGCAAGCCTGCTAGGAATTTATTTAAAAATCCTTTTGTGGTCTTTACTATAATGGGCATTACTGAAGAGCTTCACTAATATCAATTGGTGTAACTCTTACGACTACGCTATGAAGTAGGTGCTATTAGTCTCATTAGTATTTCAGTTAGGGAAACTGAGGCACAGGCTCATCACACAGCTTGCTCAAGATGACACGGGCCGTTGGTGGCCGGGCTGAGATCCAGACCTCGGCAGTGTGGATCCTGGGTCCCTGCTCCTGGCTGCTCTGCTCTGCTCTGCTGCCTGTGGGATGCCAGAACCTTCCCTGGGAGGGGCAAGCTGGTGGTCACTCCTCTTTGACCCTCTTCCACCCTTTTATCTCACCTCATCTGTCTCACAAAGGGTCTGCATTCTGCCCACCACCGAAAAATCAGGGGCTATCCCAAACCAGAATTTAAAATAATGTTTCCTTGGAAAATGCCATTGACTTTGCTGTCATCTGCCGTGTCTCCTTTCATGGCCAGTTGTGCCTGGATGGGACAGTAGAAATAGCACCGTGTTGGGCTCTGCCTCTTACAGGCAGTCTGACCTTGCGCGAGCCACTTAACCTCCTAACCCCCAGCTCCCTTATCTGCAGAGTGGAGCTAATGCTGCCCTACACTTCACAGCGCTGTCGTGAGGACCCAGTGAGACGGTGTGGGCAAGTCAGTGGTGATGGGCTGTGTAGAGGCTGGCTGTGGCCCTCATGGGTCAGCAGTCCGTTCTGCCCCCACCCCCCGAGAGAGAGTAGCTATTTACACAGACGGGGAAAGTGGGCTCTAAAAGGTGGTGCCTGACTTAAGACAACTGCTCATCTTCACCCTTGTCTGCCCGTCTGCCAAGTGCTGAAGACATGACCCCTTTCAAGAGACCCTGGGCACTTCCCTCTTCTACCTCCAGGTCCCTGAAACCTCAGACCACCATTTATGTATGCCCCTTTTCATGTCTGGGCTTCCTACTACCACACAATGCTCTCCACCCCCTACACACACACACACACACACACACACACAACTTTGAATTCATCACTTCTACTTTTGTGGTTGTACAAGCTTGGATGACATAGTAAATGATTGAGAACGTTCCAAGATGTCATGAAGGCTAGTTTCCCCAAGGTTGCCATTTCAAACCTCCCTAGAATTGCAAGACCCTGTGACCGTTTGACTCTGAAATTATCCAGGAAGAGATGACATGTCAGGATGTACAGGGGCTCCCGGCTTTAGGACGGGGTGAAGGAAGGACGATTGGTGAAGACACAGACCTCTGGGTCCCTCACCCCCGTTTCTGGCAAGGCAGCTTTATTTTATATATTTTACAGGTAGGAACCTAAGTGGGAAATTTACTTTCAAGAATACTTTCCAAGGTTAAAAGAGTTTAAAACCCATCACACTAGACAATCTCTGAAACTCCTTGGACTAAGATTCCATAAGCCTCAGAAGTGCAACATCGGGTAGGAACTTTAGATTTTTGTAAAAACAAATTTAATATTAAGAATTCACTTTAGCACAGAGTTAAGACTAACGTTGAATGTGAAAAACTAAGGAAAATATAATTATTCAAAAATTAAAATAAAATTTAAAAAAAAAGAATTCACTTTGGAATTTCACAATACCCCTTGAGGAATCTGTAGACGCACCATCACAAAATCAAGGTTGGCAGTCAATGCCTCTCGTTCTCACCTTCGCTCTTTCCTGGGAAGAGTCACAGTGAAGAAATGATTCCATCACCTAGTGAGTGGCCAGACTCTGAAGCCATCAGCCTGTCCCTGCAAAATAAACATTCCCAGGAAGCAACCTTTCCCAGGAGGTCTTTATCTGGCAGGCAGCTGGCTGGAGAGTGATTGTTGAAATGTGAAAACTGTTTGAATAAGGAAGCTGAAATGGCAGTCTCTCCAGTTCGCTCTTTGTCAGTGGGCTTTAACTGATAAATGACAGTTTTAGCCACAGATTGAGGTGCTGGGTAATTTTGTTTTTGCAGTGGAAAGTCATGAAACACAATGAAGCTATTAGTAAAGCCTGGGTGACTTGCGTTTCATTTAACAAAATAGCCAAACAGATGTTCTTTCAAGGTTCAGAGTTCTCAGACTCTACCCACACCACCAATCACCCAGGCATTTGCACAGCAAGTTGATTTCCTCAAGAACTAATTTAAGGTGCTGCAACATTTTTTAAAGGGAGAAATTAGTACAAGTATATCACTAAAAACTTAATACTTTTTAGAATACAACAGCATCCATACAGAACCCTTATGTTATGGGCTGGGCATAGTTGTCATTTTACATTCCCTGCTTATGATTCTGTGATTAAAGGCTGTCTCTCTCACACGTGACTATACCATTCTTCCCCTCTTCTCGCTGTTTCCCAGCATCTAGCATATAATAGGGGCTCAGTAAGTATTCACTCAGTGAATGGATTGTTTTAATTGTTTTCTATACCACACAGTTTTCCATGTGCGACATTATCATAAATTGTGGCTTGTTAAGAGTTGAGCAAGAAATTTGGGTGAAAATTATCCTTATCTCAGTCGTGTTTTTCTTAGCAGAGGTTTTATTTCAAGTTAAAAGGCATAACTATTTGTTAATATAGTCTAGGTTTCCAGGGTATACCATTAGGCAGCAAGCAGAGGAAACAAAAAGAACATGGTGACACCAAGATCATTAGGTTCTACATTTTTTTTCCAGGTAGAGCCCTGGTTAAGTTGCTTGGTCAGTTTTCCAGTTTCTTAGCAGATTATCCAATGAGTGTTTTCCTTTAGAAGTACAATTCAACCAGTCCAGTTATGATATTTAGTGCCATATAATGTAAACATCATACATATGAATATTTTAAATCTATAACCATCATAGATGATAAGGATGGTTTTTTAATACAGACATTAATGATGCATCTCATCCATGATACTTTCCCAATCTGTAAGGAATGGACCCTGGGAATGTAAAATTGAATAATGTCTTTGGCTTGGACTGCACTGAGAAAATAATGAAGACTATGATTGATGGTCACTCTGCTTTGAAAATTAATGATGGTCATTAATTCTTTAGTTAGGGCTTCTTTTCTCCAGTCGTGTGTATTGTATGTCAGCTTTCGTGCTGGATTCCCTTACAATGGTGTCAGGGGTGTTAAGTAAATGTTAGAAATTAGTTTGAATCACTAAGAAACCTTTCACAATCCACATTCCAATTCAGTAAAGTAGTATCTAAAGCATGAAGTTTTTTTCCACAGCTAACAGACAACCTTGAGTGTCACTGTTCTGTCTGTGGAATTGTGGTTTCCCAGACTTTTCAAGGCACTGCTGTTTGGATGGTGGACACACAGGTGCCATAAATCAAAGAGCTGAGAAAACTAAGTACTGAATGATCATGTGTATATTGAATCATATAAACTAAACTATAGTGACTAGAATAGGGGGGATGGGACCTGTAAGAGACAGGAAAAAACGGTTTTTACTACTCTCAGTACAGAATACCTCACCTCCGGTCACCAAAACATGTGTGGGGATTTCTTCCCACTAACAACCAACTGTCCAGCAGAAACCAACTGGGTGTCCTACAGTTAAACTCAATTCTAACACCATGTACTTGAAGAGAGTATCAGATCTCACGGGTTATGGGCTCAGTCCTACGAGACCGCTCCCTACTTTAGGTGACAATTGCAAGTCCCAGGTTGTGGCCTGTGCTTCTGGCCAACCAGCAATAAATTTGTGGAAGTTTCCACAACCCCCTCTCCTCAGATTCCATTTGCTAGAGCAGCTCACAGAACTCAAGGAAACATTTCACTTACTGGTTTAGTATGAAAGATGTTACAAAGGCTATGGATGAACAATTAGATGGAAGAGATGTGTAGAGAAAGGTATGTGAGAAGGGGTGCAGGGCTTCCATGCCCTCTCTGGGCCTTACCACCCTCCAGGTCCCCCCATGTGTTCAGCTATCTGGAAGCTCATCTGAACCAAGTTCTTTTGGGTTCTTTTGGGCTTCATTATGTAGGCATGATCGATTACCTCATTGGCCATTGCTGATCAACTCAACCCTCAGCGCCTCTGCCTTCCCCAGAGGTTGAAGGGTGGGGCTGAAGGTTCTAACCCTTTAATTGCATGGTTGATTTCCCTGGCAACCAGCCCCCATCCTGATGCTATCCAGAAGCCCACCGAGAGTCACTTCATGAGAACAAAAGATGCTCCTATCACCCAGAAAATTCCAAGGGATTTAGGAGCTCGGTATCAGTCACTCAGGAAATTACAAAGGTCTTAGGAGCTCTGTGTCAGGAACTAGGGTCAAAGACCAAATTCTAGAACAAAAGAGTCATCTGGTATCCCTGTCTACAAAGATCTTAGGAGCTTTTGTCTCAGAAACTGAGGGCAGAGACCAAATAATATATTTCTTCTTATTACATATCACAATATCAAGGGACCTCATAGCCATGGCCATCCTCCAGTTGCAGCCCTCCCCTAAAAATAAAGTCATCTGTGAGGTCGAGGCAATGTGCTCACCCTGAGTCCAGGACCCCAGAATTCCTGGCCCAAAATACCTCAAGCCCACTTCCAGGGCCTGTGTGAGCCTCTTCTCCGAGTCAACTCTCCCAAGCATGGATGGCACTATCGATGCAAACATTTCTAGGTATGAGGGAGAGGCCTAGGGGCTACCCTCGGCATTCGAGGCCCTTCAGAGAGGAGAAAGAGAAGGGGATGGGCAAAGGTCCAGGGTGGCCATGCTCTAGCCATGCTAGGTGCATGCAAAGCGGCCATGCTCTAGCCATGCTCCCATGTTCCAACAGGACTTCAAGTAGCTACAACCTGGGCAATCAGGTTATGTGAAGGCTATGTGTCAAGGCAGGAGGGCAGACCATATTTTAACTTGATTTATAATGGTGAAATATGTATATATATGGTATTGGGTTTCCATCTGTGTGCTTGCCTGAGGCCTCTCAAATGTTCTGCACAGGCTTGTATCATCTTGGAACTCAGTGAGAACGTGAAAGGCACCCATCAGTGGGTATGAAAGGACAGTTGTAAATTCTTCATTTGTCTTGTGTTTGCTTAATGTAAGCACCGCCTCCCCAAAGGACAGTGAGATTTTCCTAATGTTTAAAAATGCATTTTTTGTTCAACTTGGTGCCTAAACACAAAGAACCACTTGTCTGAATTTCAATGAAAGAAAATATGCTAGAATTTCAAAAGCCAGAAATTATCTTGTATTGGAGACTTAAAATCATTTTGTTTGTGAAGAGTTCTCAAACTCAGTGTATTAATTTTTTAAACAATAAGAAGAAATGTTCAATACTAGGGAATGTTTTGGAGCCTTATTCTTGTGTATAAAAACAGGTCTAATGTTACACAGGAGTATGCATTTGTAAGATAACGATTTAATTCTTTCTGCCTTAGGGCTGTCACATGGTGACTGAAGAGCTTCATTCCATAACCTTTGAAACACAGATCTGCCTCTATGGGCTGACCATAGATTTGGAGGTAGGTGTTTCGAGGAACATCTCTATTTACTACTAAAATTTGCAGGAATTGGTCAGCATTTGTAGATGAAATCTCAGTCTTTTCTAGGTTTTAGTACATTCCCTATTCATTATTTTTGTTTTAAGTTATAAAAGCAATATATCAAATTTCACTAAACAGCTAGCATACTAGTCTGGTTAAATATAAATGATAAAATCTCATGGGTATTATGAATTCAATATATGTTGAATAATTTGTTGCTCAATTTTTGTTGCATTTTTGTTTGTTTTCTGGGATTTCCTGAGTCATGAATACTCTGTGGAAAGAGAAATAAGTATCCTTAAACCATGTCATGATATATTTTCTTTTTAGTTTTTTTTTGTGTGTGTGTGTGCTGATATATCTTTAAAAATTTAGCTTGTACATAAAAATTTCTCAGAAGGAAGGTTTCTCTAACATAAGGAGCAAAGACAAATGATAGGAACATTACAGTGCATTGTTTGATCCTCTTATGACACTCACTATTGAACTCAAAGAAAGAGTAAAGCAACTTTGGGGACTGAATATGATTGACTACGAGCTCCCCGTTAGCAGAACATCGTACGTTGTTTGTCACTTCACTGTCAGTGCCTAGCACATTTGTTGAGTAAGTGAACTAATGAGTACATGAATGAACACGCACAATTTCACACACCCTGAATGTGATCCTATTTGTGTGTGGAGCATGTTGTTTTAGAATTCTGCCTTTGCTTTTATCTTAATGAATGTAAACGTTTGTAAAATTTTTCATAGATTCCTGCCTTACCTCTTTTCCCTAAACCTTTGATTCCATGAGCTACAAAGTTTCTCAACTGGGTATTTCACTGTCTACAGAAATCTGATGGTCTGTTATTAGAAAGGGATTACTATAAATTGATTGGTTTCCAAGGCTAGACTGTGAAAGCCTGTTTATTCCATAAACTAGAAAACCACAGTACTAATAATACTAAATTGAATTCTGCAACAATAGACTAGGTGGCTCTGTCTCCCATAGCTTTCCTTTCCATCTTTTATAATAAAAACTTCCATTTCTAGTAGTGACATTAATTAGAGGTTAGGCCATAATTTGAAGATACTGATTCATTCCAGAAATAAATTTAAAAGTATATTCTTTAATGTAACTTATAATGAGGACAGTCGCTAATTCAATAAAATCTCTAATTAGTTGCATTGGAGGCAGTATATGACATAAGAAAGTATAAATATTTATGTGATGCCTAGGAAGATATTGGAGAAGCTGCCTAACTGAGCTCGGTGAAAGGATTCCTGCTCTTTCCTCCCTGGATCCTTATTCAGACATGGTCAAAAAGTTCCACAGCCTTCAAGACAAGGTGTTTTAGTGACCAGGGCAGCAGGGACATCAGGATTAGAGGAGTGAGGCTGGCTTGAGGTGGCCCTTTAGAGGAGAGAGTTGAGTGTAAGATCAGGGTAAGTTGGGAATGCCTGTAATGACTATACTTTTTTTTCCAAACCAGACCAGCTCATTACCTGTGGTGATGATTTCCAATGTCAGTCAGTTACCTAATGCTTGGGCGTCCATCATTTGGTACAATGTGTCAACCAATGATTCCCAGGTAGAGTCTAATCCTATCTCTCCTCTTTTAATTCTATTTTGTTTTATTGTCAGCAAAACCCATCTGCATCAAAAGATGTGTGTGTGTATGTGTGTATGTATGTATGTATGTACGTGTGTTTGTGTGTGATTTGCAGGCTGCTTTATTTCTAGTTGAATGATACCTCTCATGCCATATTTAAAGTAATATATTCTGATGTGCTTGGACCCTGAGAGCGCCCTGGCCAGCAAAAGTGACAAACAGTTATTTGTTATTTCTGAGTGTCTGGTCAGCTGCCAACTATGTGCATCACAGAGTTCTAGAGCTGTCATCCTATAGCTCTGTTAACTAAGCTGTGTGGAAACTTCTTGTCCCAGAATTTGATATCTGACGACCTCAACTGTTTCTGGCCCCACCTAGTCCACACACTCTCTTCTATAAAGAATTAGTTTCCAGAATTGGAAACTAATTCCAAGTTGCTAGAATATTCATCAATCTTACCTAACTATATTGTGATATCACAAAATTTCAAGTTGATTACAGATTTTGCCCATTGTAGACTCCAGCTGGGTTTTAATGCCATCTGCTGGTTATTTGCAGCACTTACGCAAAATTGGCTTCAAGTCACAAAGCAAGAAGAGAATAGATGCTCTTCTTACAAGACAACGAGGGAAGGGAGTAATAGAGCCCAGTGTAGCTCACGCTCACCACTGGCCTTCTCTGGGTATCACGCCAAATTTCTGAATTCTTCCTCTCCTCCTCTTAGAACACCTTTCTTGGCTTTCACGCCTACCTATATTCCTGTAATCTGGGACAAAGTCTTCTGTTCCACTGTCGCTGACCCTGTTTCTGGCACAAACAACCTTGTTTGTAGTTGGTCATAGAAAATATTCTCTTATCTAGCTGGGTGCACATAAGCCTGTAGTCCCAGCTACTCAGGAGGCTGAAGCAGGAGGATCACTTGAGCCCAGGAGTTCAAGTCCAGCCTGGGCAACATAGCAAGACCTGGTCTCTAAAAAAAATATATATTTTTTAATTCTCTAATCTAAAGCAAAATGATAAAACACTACTATACAGGAATCTGAGGTTAATCATAAATTTATATGGTAGGGTCACCTTCCTTAGCCTGGGACTTAACTATTTCTTGCACTTTGGGATTATCTGTCTGGTCAAGGGAAAACTAGTGCCAACCCAATTAATAAACCAATCAAATAACATGATATAAGTTTTGTTTAAGGTTAATATTATTTCAGAAGAGAATATCTGTCCAATTATTTGCTGGACAGTGTTAAGTACTGGCATGAGTTGACTGATAGGGAGAAGTTAAAGAGATGCCAAATGGTTCAAGAAAGATGGAGCCCTCTGTATTACATTAAACTCAAGGAACAAGAAGCCCTTTAAGAAAAGACAAAATCAATCTTAAAAATAACAACAGAGTTGGGACTATATTCTGTATTGTTAACTTAGGTCAGCCTACAGAGTTTAAATCAGGACTCCTATATATTGAATTATAGTGTTTTCAGTGTGACTAACAAATATCATCATCCTTATAACTCTATTTCAGAACTTGGTTTTCTTTAATAACCCTCCATCTGCCACTTTGAGTCAACTCCTGGAAGTGATGAGCTGGCAATTTTCATCATATGTTGGTCGTGGCCTTAATTCTGACCAACTCAATATGCTGGCAGAGAAGCTTACAGGTGAGAGCTGGTGGATCTGCCTATTTTTTGTTATTCAAGTATTTTATAGAACCACAGTGATATTAGTACTGTTAATATCAATATTAATAATAACAACGATCATCACAATTTAATGAGTGCCTACTGTGTTGCCAGGCAAAGGGCTAAGTGCTATAGTATCTTTAGTTCTCACGAAAGTTCTTCGAGGCCAACATGACTCTATCCACTTTATAGACAAAGATATTGGCATATAGAGGAGATGTGACTTGCCATGGCTGCATGGCTAGTACACAGCAGTGCCAAGCCGCCGGCCAGGCCTGTCCAGGTCTAAAGCCCCTTCCTGACCATTCCACACACCCGCCTCCTGGGCGTGCTTAGGCCGGTTCCACTGAATGTGATGTGAAGCTGTAATGGTGACTTGATCTTTCATATTAATGCTCAATTGACACAAACCAACTGGAAAAGGACTGATTCTTTCACCAGATCTAGGAAATGTCACAGAAACTTAAAAAACCATCCCAGGAAGACTTGATTCTGCATTATCAAGAAAGTCTGCAGCTTGACTGGGATTTCTAAAATTTGCAAAATAGAGTCATTGGTACTACATGTGCCAATTACAGTCCAAGCTTTTTCCAAAAGAATTTTAAGAGATATCTGTATTTTGACACATCTGGGGTGAACACAAAGGAGTTAAAATTGGATCTGTGTGCATTTCTAGTTAAAGTAGGGCCAGAGATGCCTTTGTACAGCAATAGTAGAATTGTGTGATTTAAGCTTGATCCACACGTGATGCTGGGATGCTTGCCCCTTGCACCTGTTATCTGATCAGTAGGTATTTAAATAAATCAGCACTTTGGGAAGGATTATAAAATTGGCTTAATATAAATATGTTTTGATCCTTCTTTAATTTGTAAGCAGCAATAGCAGACATTCAATAAATATTTGTTAGAGTGGCTTTTAAATATGTAGTATAGATAGCAACCATTATCTTTTCAAATCTTTATCAAGTTATTCTTTAAGTATAATTTCCTTAAAAATTTAAGTAGAAACTCTTGTATCCTTTCAGTGTTCTGGATCAAAACAGCCAATGGCTGCTTATTGCCTAATAGATTGCTAGTCCATTCTTTTCATTTTAATAGGCAAGATTCCTGGTAATCTGGCTATTCCTAACTTATACAGATTTATTTTGTAATGTTTATTCACCAACATCAGGCTGCTCCTAGTCTCTTACAGGAGCCATGCTCACGTCCACCACACCTCATCCTCATCCTGCATATTATTCATGCTCCCTGGAGTGGACTCCTTCCTCTCCTCTGACAATTTATATCACCACCCACCCCCCGTCCCCATTCATGGAAGCCACTATCTAGGCACCCACCTGAGCCTACAGCCATCATTAGCTCCTCCACCAAAAACCTTCTTTCCTAGACAATAAATTTCTTAGGCACAAGGATGATACATTTGTACTGTATCTAGCACTCGGTACACTGTAAACCCACGGCAGGTGCTTAAGAAATGCTTGAAAGGGGAGGATTTAAATGGAGCATAAAATTGAAGAATCTCATTATTGAATAAAACAATCTCATTCTTTTCTTTCATTTTAGTCCAATCTAGCTACAGTGATGGTCACCTCACCTGGGCCAAGTTCTGCAAGGTACAAACAGGGGGAGGGGGGGAACATCATTTAGGTTTTTTTTTTTTTTTAATATAATGCTCCTTTCTAAGCCTCCATAATGATTGCCTGGAGGTTTGAGGATTTCCTGGATAAGAATATTTTTCAAAGAAACAAAAGTGTTGTCCAGTTTGAAGAAAATATTTTATTCAAACATGGAACTTGAATTATTATACCAACATTACTACTTAAATGATCACTGCCCTAATGTGCATGTTTATTCCATAGGAACACTTACCTGGTAAATCATTCACCTTTTGGACATGGCTTGAAGCAATATTGGATCTAATTAAGAAACACATTCTTCCCCTCTGGATTGATGGGTGAGTTACAGCCTATATTTTCCATATGAGTTAATTAAGTTATATTTTTTCCTGTTGTTATTGGTTTTTTTCATGTTCTTTTTTTCTTTTTTCTTTTTTGAATTTTCCATCTGACTTTATTTCCAAATACATTTTCTTTTTTAAAAAACTAATACAGTTTCTTCAGGGATGACAAATATCAGTATTAGGAAATCCAATTATACAAAAAATTCTACATCTAGTCTGGGGGTAGATATATTTATTTTTGGTAACATACATTAAGTGTCACTAATTACACAATAACTATAAGGAAACTGACATGAAACCACACAGCTGTAACTCTGCCAAAGCTGCATGGACTTGGGCCTTTCTGGCTGAGCACATTTTCAAAAAACCGTATGCTCATCCCAGAGCTGTGCCAATGAAATGTGTTAAGGAGTACAGCTCTGAAGTGGTGACTCACCAGAGTACCTTGCAGCTGACAGATGACAGGCAGGACATGTTAGTTATAAAGTAGGTACAGCCTAATTCACAAAAGTTACCAACTGTTTCTCTTTCTAGAAAAAAGCAAGAAGTTATTAAGAAATTCCTTGAATTTCTTATAGCGCCTGGTGTGTCAGGTGGGAGTGCAGAAAAGGGGCGTTAGAGCAGTGTCGAGAGGACACTCTGGTGGGCCAGATGGGTTGGACATCATTAATAATCATGGTTGGCTTCTAAATACTGGTAGCAAGATAACTTCTGATTTGTAATCTTAGGTAAATTATAGATAAATGAAAAAAGCCAGTCATTATACACTAAAATTAATAAACAGCACTTCAAAATTAACCACATAAGGGCTGTGCTCGCAGCAAGGTTTCACAAGACAAGGCACCCAGATTTTTTCTTCCGACGTCTGGCTTGCAGAGCAGCTCTGGTAGCCATTTCGAAAACCTCCCTCACTCCATCTTTGGTCTTCGCTGAACACTCCATGTACCCAAACGCGCCAATCCTGTTCGCCATGTCTCTGCCTTCCTCGGGTTTTACAGGCTCCTGCTTTATCTTGGCTAGCTCCTGCCTCGTGTGCTCATCATTGCGAAGATCCTTCTTGTTCCCGACCAGGATGATGGGCACATTGGGACAGAAATGCTTGACTTCCGGGATCCATTTTTCTAGGATGTTTTCTAAGCTATCAGGGCTGTCGATGGAGAAGCACATCAGTATAACATCAGTGTCTGGGTAGGAGAGGGGCCTTAGGCGGTCATAGTCTTCCTGCCCAGCTGTGTCCCACAAAACCAACTCTACCTGCTTTCCATCCACCTGGATATCTGCCACATAGTTCTCAAACATGGTGAGCATGTACACCGCTGGGAACTGGTCCTTGCTGAAGACTATGAGCAAGCACGTCTTGCCACAAGCTCCATCGCCAACGATCACCAGTTTCTTCCTGATGGCAACCATGGCTTACAGACGCCCTGCAGGGGCCACGGCCTGGGCGGGAGAAGTCGTACAAAGCACCTTGAACTCCTGAGAAGAAAGTCTCGGGCGACGACTCCGAGTCCGGCCTCTTCCTGCCGAGGACTCCTGTCCGCCAGTCGCAAGCTCGGAGACGAGAGCCGTTAACGGAAGTGGCGATTGCGGACTAAGGAGAGAACTGACAGAGGACGGCAGGCGGCGCGCGGGGAACGCGCGCCCTTTCTTTTCCTTTTTTGAGCACGTTTAGTGTCATAAGAAAAAAACAGTTGCAATTTCTTACATTCTTCACAGAGTATTGAGATTTATATGTGTGTGTGTGTGTGTGTATATATATATACACACATATATATATATTAATCTGTATATGAGTAAGTACTTCAGGAACAAATGACTTTTGATTATACTCCAAACAAACTTTAGGTCTGCTCTTTGTGAATGCAATAATGATTAGATAAATCTATGCACTGTTCTATTTTTAGGTATGTCATGGGCTTTGTTAGCAAAGAGAAGGAACGGCTCTTGCTAAAGGATAAAATGCCTGGAACCTTTTTATTAAGATTCAGTGAAAGCCATCTCGGAGGCATAACTTTCACCTGGGTGGACCATTCTGAAAATGGTATATACTCACTATTGTTTCTTCAGGTGCATTCAGTTTCCTTGGGTTTGGTTGTTGGGGTTTCAGTTTTCAGAAGTGTGAGGATCTGTTTATCACGTCTTCAGTGTGTTTGAATATTATTTGTTGCCCATTGTCCCAGAACAGGGTACCCATGAATTCCAAAAGCCTGTGTGATCACCCTCTATCACATACATGACCTGCAGTCTGTTTAGGCTGCAGAGGGTCTGATGTGGACTTATAACCAGTGACTTGAAGACAATGTGGGTGGTAAGAATAATCACAAAGAATGCCTGCAGACACCTGTACATTCCTCTGATTTCTGTCATTCAAGGAGAAGTGAGATTCCACTCTGTGGAACCCTACAATAAAGGCCGGTTGTCTGCTCTGCCATTCGCTGACATCCTTCGAGACTACAAGGTTATTATGTCTGAAAACATTCCAGAAAACCCTCTGAAGTACCTATATCCTGACATTCCCAAAGACAAAGCCTTCGGTAAACACTACAGCTCCCAGCCATGTGAAGGTTAGATTCTTCATGTTTGCTTTTTTCTTAAGATTTTGGAAAATAACCTCATATTGGAACAAAGTAAACGAAGTTCCTCTCTTTGTTTACTTTGATCTTTGGAAGATCTAAGGGGCATATGGAGGTCAAAGCCTTAGAAATGAAGTGGAATGGCAGCAGTTCCTGCAAAAGGACCACTGGCTGTCTAACCCTAGCAGAGTAATAAGCAGTAGCTACAACTAGACTTCACCATAGCCATGGTTTTCTCCTCCGTAAAATACAAGTGATACCGGCATCACTTCTGTGGCTGGGGGAAGGAAAAGAGAGCAGGTAACGAATGGTTAGACACTTTTAAAAGTAAGGCAAGTCTGTATTTTGCATAGCAGCCCCGGGGGTTATAAGTTTTATATTTTTAACCTTATATAGTCAACTCAGAGAATTTGTTCATTTGCTAAGGAGGTGAGTTGGGGGTCTGTGCTTCATTTCCCTCAACCCTCAGCCTACCTTTCCTCGTTGTAGCCTAAGGACCTAGAACAAAAAAGGCATTCAGTAAATATTTGTCAAATACATGAAAGAAAATTCATGAAATTGTTATATAATTGTTAGGTCAGTTCACCATTCTGTTTCTTTAATGAACATATGTACAGTCCATTAAAATCTTAACCTATAACAACTAAATATCTGGGCACCGTCTTTTAGCATATCTTTCAGTTGTCACTAATAGTTGGTGACTTGCTTCATCCCTCTAAAACAAACAAACAAACAAAAATATAAAAGAAAACAAAAACAAAAAAAACCTTTGGCTTTTAAGTGACTTTCTACATTTGATTGAATGAAATAGCAAATGTCAATGTAACAAATTACAGCTGAAAAGTTGGGTCAAATATTTGTTCAACATGATATACGAGAAAAATTGGGGGAATGTTTCCACAGTGAGGTTTGCACATTACTGTTATTATAGTACAGTGGTACTTTCAAGAACACTGATGTCTGTGCCTCAAAAATTTTTGTAATCCTAGGGTTCTAATTGGTATCAGTTTTAATGAAAACAACTGGGTTATTATATGTCTCCCAATACATGACTAAATCAGTCCTTATAGTCAAGCTTAAAGGTAATGTAAAAGACAGGTATATAATTGATTCTAAATTTTTCCTACACATTTTATGTAAAGTCAGATTAGGCCTGCCAAGACATTTGTTTTTCTCATCTTGCACACTTTATGTGTACCTAAAAGACTATTTCCTCTATTCAGCTAAACATCTTTGTGAATCCTGAACAACTGTATTATCTCTCTTCCTTTTAGCATTGCTGATATTTTGCTAGACTTTCCCCCCCAATTTTATCAATAATACTGACATTTTTTGTCAGTATTATTTTGTCAGTATCAATAATACTGACATTTTTATCAATAATACTAACATTTTTACCAACATTGTGCCTCTCTTTTCCAGTTACAAGACCAACAGAAAGAGGAGACAAAGGTTATGTTCCTTCAGTTTTTATCCCCATCTCAACGATGTGAGTAATCTTAGCCACATGTTAAATACTTATTATTTAATTTTTTTAAATAAAAACTTCCCTATAGGAGATTTAAGGATAGAGCAGAATACATATAACTGAGAATAAAGCATTTTAATGCTCAATGTCCCATTTCCTTTCATGTTAATACATAAAGCTAGTCTTCAGGGCACACTCACCACCATCTATTATGACTAGAATTATAAAGTTGCCCTTTTACATGCCATATATTCAATAGCAGGTTGAATGCTCTGATATGAGATGATGAATTAGACAGCTCAGTGCCACAAACAGATGAAGCCCTAGAAATGAGTTCCTGACAGGGTAAGTCGCCATGGGCTATTATTTTCTAATCCTTTTCAATATTTACCTTGTTACCTCTTTTAGCCGAAGTGATTCAACTGAGCCACATTCTCCGTCGGACCTTCTGCCCATGTCTCCAAGTGTATATGCAGTGCTGAGAGAAAACCTGAGTCCCACAACAATTGAAACTGCAGTACGTTCCCTTTCTTTTCCATTCTTGGTCAAGGGCGTGTCCAGTGAAGCAAAGGTGGTGTGAGAGGCAAAGGGGCTGAAGTACTGCCTGGGCAGGGATAAAGCATGTTTACTGGAACAAGTTCGTGAACATAACCCCAGGGTGCTGGTTTGGTCCTGTGTGTTGCTGATGTTATCTGCGTTGACAGCAGACACCTTCGTTTACTTGAACTGCTTTCAGTTCTTTCCATCAAAGACCAGCAGAGGGCACAGTGTTCCCATGCCCCACTCAGGCACAACTTGTCCCTGCTTCTACCACGGCTCCTCACGCCCCACCGCTCTCTCCACTTTAGCAAACAACATTTATCAGTCAATATTTACAAGTCTAGAGTAATATCTATTTTAACAGTTCTACCAGCATAAATTCTGATTTTTCTTGTTACTTGAACTACTAGAATCTGGAGCCTCTTCAAGTAGGGTATGAATAACAACCAATAGCATCATGCTAGTCTTCTTTTTGAGAACTGGGTCATAATCTTTTTTTATTTTTTATTTTTATTGTTTTGAGACAAGTTCTGTTCTCCCTCTGTCACCAGGGCTAGAGTACAGTGGTGTCATCATAGATCACTGCATCCTCAAACTCCAGGGCTGAAGCAACCTTCTTGCCTCAGCGTCCTGAGTAGCTAAGACTACAGGCACATGCCACCACACCCAGCCAATTTTTCTATTTTTTGTAGAGATGGGGTCTTGCTCTTGCTCAAACCAGTCTCAAACTCCTGATCTCAAGCTATCCTCCTGCCTTAGCCTCTGAAAATGCTAGAATTATAGGTATGAGCCACCATGCCTGGCCCCACAGTCTTTAATGTAATACTGTTATTTAGGACACGCTCTATTTGTTCTTGTCCCCCAATACCGTCAAGAGGTTCAAAGTCCAATTTACATGAAATTGAACATACATCAGAATAACAGAATTTTGGAGAGACATTGAGCCCCAAAAGATTTGTATTTTGCTATAAATCAAGTGGTTTTTAGTCCTTCTCTTGAAGATTTCCAGGGATGGAAAATTCACACTCTCCTTTGATTGCTTATTCCAATGTTAATTGCCCTGAGGTTCTTAAGTTATTTATGTCTAGCTGAACTTTGGTGACATTTTGCACCCATTTCCTTGTTATGTTTTTGGTAGGATGAAGAGGCCTTTTTCTTAAATCAGTTTTCTATCTACTTGAAGGTACCTTTTATTTTAGACTGATCAACCCCAATTACTTTTGTAAATACTTAATAATTGATGGAAAGATTATGGAGTATTTAGTAGACAAGAGGATGCTTATCTATCAAAGAAATAATGATTCATTTGCAAAACAGGATTTTGCTCAAAGATCATTTTCATTTTCAATTTTAGATGAAGTCTCCATATTCTGCTGAATGACAGGATAAACTCTGACACCTCAAGGAAGGAAGCAGATACAAAAGTTTAAAGACTGTTCTTTGCCAACGACAACATCTTATTTCTTCACCTTTGTAAATACAGGTTTCCAGGAAATGCTTGAAATCTGAAGCTCTCTTCTCACTGGCATGGCACCCCCCAGTTGGGAGTGTTGTGATTGACTTGCTAAAAACCACAGCTTCAGATAAACTGCAAGATAAGACCACCTTAAGAAACCAGTGTTAATAACAATATTAACAGAAAACATATTTGCATGTGTTTGTTTTATTTCTGACTTTGTTTCTCTGGTTTTATTTATGATTTTGGCTCTAGACAGTATAAGTATTAACATTTCAGGGTAGGTCAAGGATAACAAAGTCATACCTAGGTGTACCTGAGCAGGAAGGGCTGGAGCAAAGCCAAATAAGCCAATCAAGCTTGGTGAGTTCCAGCAAGTGAGAGTGGTCACAGTAGATCCAAGATGGAAGTAATCAACAGGCATTAACAGCAGCAATTCACAGGCTGTGCAGGTTGAATTATGAAACCTCTTAATTGCCATATCAACACGGTCCCAACTGTGGGGTTCACAGCTGCTGGAACCACTGCCAGGGACACCTCTCTTATTAGGGGAGGCATCTAGGGTCATTCCTGGTGGTATCTTGGGCAAAGTGCACTGATAGTACAGGCATTACAAGCAGAAACATGGGTAAAATATTCTCATGAAATGAGGCCTGGGAGAATAACAACTCTGATTTCAGGCAACTGATTTCATCCATGGATTGCAAATTCTTCATCTCTAGAAGAGGTTGGACCAGGTGGGCTCTATGAGCCTTTCCAGCTCCAGTAGTTTCTCTGGTTCCATGAATCCAACCTGTGACTAGGGAAAAGGATTTGGGATGAGAATTCCCATAGCTTCGGTTTTCTCAGGTGAAGAGGAATAGTAGGTGGTACACTGCATAGCAATGCATGTACATGGGCTGCAGGTCTTTCTTCATACTTGTCTCACCCTGGCTGAATGCTTTGTGGTGCTATTGCCTAGCTGCTGCCCTTAGTAATGGCATGGGATCCCCTGATGCCTTAATTCCTAGGGAGCTCTTCATGTCCACTGAGCCCAAGGGAAGCTGCTGAGCCGGGTGAGGAAGTCATGTTACCAAGGCATCTCCCATGACCAGCTGCAGAAAAATCCCAAGGCTGGTTTCCAAAGTGAGCCCTGACTGCACAGTCAGGGATGACAGCCCAACTCAGAAGGGCTGCTATCCAGTTCTTTCCATCCATATCCTGTCCTTCAGGCAAACCCAACAGCCAGAGGCTAATGTTTGATGGAAATGCATTCAAGGAAAGAAAAGTTTTTAATATAACTGGCCTTTTCCCTTAGAGAGATTCCATCCAATCAATCTCATCCTTTATTCCCACCCATGTGCACCTAGCTGGATCCTAGATTGGACCCACCTGCCCCAAGGCCAGCTCTCTTAGTTACCCCTTTACGAGCTCCTGACAGTGCTCAGGGTGAAAGCTTCTGTCTAGTGGAGGGACACATCTAACTGGAGCAGCACTCTCCCTGTGTCTACTTCCCTCCACAAACCCAGTTTTCTAAAACGTGTCTGAAATATATATATCAACTGGCAGCAGAATTGGAGAAAATAATTTAAACCTGGGCATGATTATTATAGTTTTATCTTTAAAGAATAATTTTCTTTAAAGAAGGAAAGTTCTCTTAAACAATTGGATTTAGATATCAAAAAAGGTTGCAGAAATTTTTCATTGCCTTTAATTTATCAAAAGTATGACGGACTCTTACCTATCCAGCAGAAGTTTTAAAAGCTTGTCAACATAGAGCCTGGCAGCAGAATGCCAAAGTTTCATACATGGCCAGAGCCATCATAATTATTTGGGAGTAGAAAATACAAGAACGAGGCCAGGCACGGTGACACTCGCCTGTAATCCTAGCACTCTGGGAGGCTGAAGTGGGAGGATCGCTCAAGGTCAGGAGTTCGAGACCAGCCTGAGCCAGAGTGAGACCCTGTCTCTACTAAAATTAGAAATTAATTGGCCAATTAAAAAAATATATAGAGAAAAAAAATACAAGAATGGCTGGGCACAGTGGCTCATGCCTGTAATCTCAGCACTTTAGGAGGCCAGGCAGGAGTATCACTTGAGCCCAAGAGTTCAAGACCAGCCTGGGCAACAGAGCGAGACCCAATCTCCACAAAAAAAATTAAAAAATAAAAATTAGCTGGTCATGGTGGTGCATGCTGGTAGTCCTAGCTACTTGGGAGGCTGAGGTAGGAGCCCAGAAATTTGAAATTACAGTTAGCTATAATTATGACTGCACTCCAGCCTGGGCAACAGAGTTAGACCCTATCTCTAAAAACAGAAGGAAAAAAAAAAAATAGAAGGACACCTATAGTTTGCTCTATAATAGAGACAAGGGACACATTATGAGTTTAGTAACTGGATCTTTTTATTTAGATTCAGAGTATTTAAATTCTTGACCCCAGAATAAAGAGTTATTTCCCAGTAGTATGAGTCTGGCACTCTAGGAATCATTATTGTGGGGGTGTTGCTATAAAGGCTGGGTAATTTATAAAGGAAAAGGGTTCATTTGGCTCACAGTGTGCAAGACTGCACAGGAAGACTGGTGCCAGCATCTGACCCACTCGTTTGACGTTTGCTTTAGTCTGCTTGCCTTACTCATGGTTATGTTACCATATGTACTTCAGAGTGCTAGGAAGGGCCTCCCATAAACTATTTCTAAGGGTCTTAACTCAAGCCTGCTTCTAGAGGCTACCCTTATCTGGAGGAGGCCAAGCAGCAACACCTTATCGCACTGTAGATGGGCTTCATGTAATTTCCATTCTAGATGTAGGGCTTTGCTTACTTGCTGGGTTACCACCACTACAAAGGAGGGTCCATTATCACTCTGTATGGATGAAAGGAGCCTATGAACATCCTGACGACCTGCAGGATCATCGAGACCACCATGTCCAGCTCCTTGGAGAAATGGTTCATCAGGTTCCCACCAGGGGTCCACTCAAAGAAGCTCATGGGTGACTGCACGACATTGTGCAGCAGATCCAGTTGCAGACACAGGAAGCAAGAATCCCCACCACCACCCCACGACCAATGGACACAGCTATGGAGTAGCCAAACATGGTGATACCTTGTGAATTGCCCAGGGCTCCATAGATGCACAGACGGACTTTCGTGTGTTCCTGGGTCCTGTTGACAATGAGGTCATCGGTCCAGAGACTGAGTAGTTAGAAGCCAGGGCAGCAATGTGGTTACACAAGAAGAGGAAGATGCTCAGGAAGGCGATGAACAGTCCAGTGGCCTTCATGTAATCCCAGGACACGGACAGCTTGACCTTCCCTGTCTGAGTATTGTCTGCCTCCCTCAGCTTCCAGGTCTCTTCCTGCTTGGCCCAGGGTTTCTGCAGCTCAGCCATGCTGCTGTGGTGCCCACTGATATCCCTGCTGGAGGAGGAGGAGCTGCTGAGCTGTCTCTGCAGCTGCCTGCCCACGGCATTCATTACCAGCATGCCATTCTCTGTCTGCTTGTCCTCTTTCCCTGGACTGCTGGTCTCCGTCACCCTACTGTCCTCCAAGGCCTGTTCCTGCTCTGTACTGGCATATGTGCGCAGGAGCTCGGTGAAGGCCGTGTCCTGGGCCAGCAGCTCCTGGCAGGGGCCCATCTTGGAGTGAGTACCTTCAGAAGCATTCTGGTAACTTCAGATACTCTCTCCATTCGAGGAGGATAAGCCTCTACCCAGCCTGAAAAGGAATCTACTAATACAAATGTAGGCATCTGAGTGAAATTGCCAATCATTGACAAAGTGTGTCCACACATCTTGGGTTTCCTGTGCAGCAGGTCGCTTTTCTGTCTTCGGATCATCTCGAGGTGCCTCATAAGAGGCCAAACCAAGGCTTCAGGTAGGAGAATGAGTCCACGAGAACTCTGTCTCCATTTAGCTGTCCCATCCCCACATGTCACACACAGCCCCAGTCTTTCGCTTTAGAGGGGATCTAAATCTAGCTGGGGTATGAAGGCCCTGAGGAAGAGGTCACCTTCAGCAGCCTGAGATTGCTTTTTGCAACATAAGTGTCTCCCCACCCACTTTTTTATTTTTACTTTTTTGTTTTTTGGTGACCAGGACAGTGCATGGTGGCCACCCGCTTGGGCTCAGCCACGACCTATATCAGGGCCATTATTTCAGTGGCATACTTGCTATCCTTATTTCCTGCTGTCAGGAGACCCCCTTTCCTTCCAAATAGCACCCTTAGCATACACAATCATAAAAGCATATTTAGTTACCTTTTTTCCTCGGGATCACTGAAGAGCTCTGGTTAAAGCAACCTGCTCAGCCATCTGGGGTGAAGTCCCAGATGGCAGTGCCACTGCCATGATCACCATATATCCAGCCCTTTGTTGTCCATAAAGCTGCTCCTGTCAGTGAAAAGATGCCAATTTGGTGCTGGCATTGGCTGATCTGACAGATTCATCGTGCTAGACTAGACGGCCTCTGGAATCTCTAAACGGTCGCATTGTAAAGGCTCATTCTCTTCAGCTGGTAACAGGGTGGCAGGATTGAGAGTAGACACAGTCTTTAATTAAACATTGGAATTATCCAAAAGGATGGCCTGGTATTTTCCCAGACTTCCTGCAGTGAGCCAATAATCTCCCTTCTGTTCCAATAAAGTCACAAGCTGGTAGGGTGCACATACTACAATGGTTGTCCTAAAGTGAATTTTTTGGATTTTCGCAACAAGTCACAAGTAGCTGCTACTGCGTGGAGGCAAGGAGGCCATCCTCTCACAGTATTATCCAGCTACTTTGACAACTATGCCACTGGCCATGGGATGTCACCAGCATCTGCACTAGGACTCCAAGGCCCATCCTTAATTTTTTCTTGGAATCAGGCATCCCCAAAGCAGAGGCAGTCATAAGACTCTGCTTTAGTTTTCAAAGGCATTTTAACAGTCTATGGTCCAACTCAGGGGCTCCACATCTGTCCCTTTAAGAGCCTTGTACAAGGGCTTTGTTATTAGTCCAAAGTTTGGGATCCAGATGCGACAGATCACGGCCATTCCTAGGAACCCTAGATAAGTAACCTGCTGTTTGCAAATCTGTCCAATTGCAGGATCCGCAAGTCCCCCACTAAACTCCCATTAAACAGGGCAGGACAGCCCTTTTAAATCCATGAGGCAACAAAGTCCAGCAGCACCATGAGTCCACTCTAGTCCCAGGATCCTGTCATTCAAATGAGACTGAG